CTTAGATCCAAAAAAAAAAAAAAATATGATACTATTATTTATGGTTTTCAGTGTACATATTCCTAGTACAACAATCCAACGGTTGGGTAAAATGAGTTATCTTATTGCATGATGAGGTGTTTCTTGGGTATATGTTGAGGTGGTTTTGGCAGTCCTTTGTGGCTTGTATTCATTTGGCTCAAGTGCATGGTGTATTCTAATATTCCCCCTCAGTTTGACCAAGGGGTTAAGAACCATGCATAGCTTGTTTCTTAGTCTTCTTAAAACTTGACCAGTTATTGATTTGGTAAAAATATCTGTAACCTGACCAATTTTTGGAATGTGTCTGACTGAAATCTCTTATGCTTCAAACTTCTCTCTGATGAAGTGCAAATCTATTTATAGATGTTTAGTTATTAAGTGAAAACAAGATTTCCTGCCAAAGCCACAACTCCCATGTTATCCATCCAAATAACAACAGTTTGTTTTGTCCCAATTTTGAGCTCATTCAGTAAGTTTTTCAACCAAACTACTTCACAAGTAGGATGAGCAAGTGATCTATATTGTGCCTCAGTGCTAGACGTTAACACACTGGCCAGTATTTTTTAGCTCAGTGTCACAAGATTTGAACCCATGAACACACAATATCCACTGGTTGATCTTCTATTAGTCAGGTCTGGCCCTCAATCAGCATTAGCAAATCCTATGAGATTAAATTTAGTTGATGGTTTAAGGTTCAAGCCAATGTCTGTTGTACCTACCAAATACCTTAGGATCCTTTTAACAGCTTTCTAATGTGTTGCAAGAGGTGATTGCATGAACTAAGACACCTTATTCACACAGTAACTGATTTTTCGTCTTGTAATTGTAGCATATTGCGATGCTCCCACAATGTTCCTGTACATCTTGGCATTCTCAAAGGGCTGGTCATTGAACTTTGAAAGGATAGGTGAACCGATCATAGATGATGGACGTCCTTTAGTAGTCATGTCACACTTTTTGACAAGGTCTCTGATGTATTCCTTTTGACTTAACAATTATCCTTCATCTGTTTGCTGAACTTCAATCCCAAGAAAATAGCTTATAGTTGTCCAAGGTCTTTGAGAGAGAACTCATTCGCTATATAATATATTAGTTTTTTTTTTCTTCAGACGAGCTTATGAACTCAATGATTCACAAAAACGGGTAAAAAATGGAACATTTAAATTGGGAAAGATAAAGAAGAAATTGGTCATTTTGTGATTCTATCATATTTTTTTGTGATACACAATAAACATTGGATTATACACAAATTTATAGAATCGCATTAAATTTGACAACCCAAATCTCTCAGCTTGTTCACCAAGAAAAACCCCAAATGAGAAAACCCTTGATCAGAGAACTCTTGCACCTTCTCTAGTGGGGCCACTGGGCCTTATTGGCGGCGGCCGTCATCGGACCGTTCGGCTAGGTCCCCAGTTTTTGTCACATGTGCTCGTCTTTGTGCCGAAGGAGTCGAAGTCCATACCCAAGTGGATTTCACTGTAAATTTGGTTGCTGCTCGGGAAAGAGGTCCGTCGATTTCTAAGGGGTTGAGGCGGTGGTTGGCTTCGGCGCTTCTCCGGGGGTTTGGTTGCGGCTCTTATTTCCCTAGTGGCAGTGTTCGAGGC